GACGAGCATATATAGACGAATTCCCCTTTGGCATCGTGCTAATAACCACTCTGACAGTCACGGCTGCACTTGTGTATAGATCCATGTGCGTTTCGTACAATTGTACCTCATAAATGAAGCAATAAGAGTACCAGCGTCGATATGATTGTCCGGCCACTTGCGGGCGAGCGCTTGCAGTGAGCAGTTGGGTCGGCATGCTGCATCTTCACTATAAGATGCCTTCAGTTTTAGGCAGCGTTCAGACTTCGCGACGGCAGCGCATCAGGTCGCGCGTTCGACGCGATCGATGCGCATGTTTTCGACTGCATCGATCGCGTGGAACGCGCGACCGAAGCGCTGCCGTCGCGAAGTCTGAACGCTGCCTTAGAAAGTGCCGCGCAGCCGCCTTGCCAATTATCGTTCCACTTGCCTTTATGTGTGTGCGTGACCTCTTTTCCTTCACGTTACGCATGCTTATATCTGTCCATCGAGCAAACAGCAGGAAATTTGAAAAAGGTAAAAAATAGTGTTGCTTTGTATGCTGTTCTTCCTCTAATTGGTTTCTAGGGAGAATCGAGCTAAGAAAGGAGGTATTTGTGTTGCAAATCATACATCACCAATTGATGTTATGGTCTTGAGTTGTGATAATTGCTATGCAATGATTGGACAAAAACAAGGAGGTTTTCTCGGTAAGTTCGTTCCCATTATTTCTATGAAATTGGCTCTATTAATGATTTTCCATCATGAATATCTTATTTCTAGGCTTCATACAGGATTCACTGAGTCGTGCTGAGCACCACATCTGGTTCGAGCGAAGTGAGGCTGGTGACAGGAAAAAGGTGCTGCAAAGGTACCGATTATTCAGCCTATTGGTGTGTAGTGGCCAGAATTGGAATAATTTGACATTTAATGCCCCCTTTCGCCGAATTTGAACGAGATTATGATGGCAACTCCCTAAGGAGGAGGGCTGGGAGAGGAGAGATAGATTTGGAATTTTGCTCCGTGAAGTGGATTGAGGGTTTCTGCGAATATTTTGCTCCAAGCGGATGTAATGATCATATTTTGAGCGTCAAACTACACCCGAAGAGAAAATTCAAGGAACACCCGTCCCCCTGGAAAAAATTCGATTAAAATGTAGCCTGAACGTCAAAGCGTGAAGCTGTACTATACAATGTCGTGCAGCTATGCACAAGATGACCTAAAAGTGGGCATCTTCATGGGGCTATGTAACCAGTAAAATCGTGTAGAGCTAACAATAAGTCCCACCCCATAGTATTGATCCTATCAAGTTTTTCTAACACTTCTGTCGAATCCAGGGTACAGCATCGTTGTGCGAAACCCATAGGGGGGTCGTACTTGGCCGCTGGGGAGGGGGGTCGTAATCTCAAGGGTCACTCAGAGCCGGGCAATGCTTCGACATTTCAGTTGATAGTGGGAGTGGAGCTATGGAAGTCAAGATGTTAAAAAAATGAAAATTATTATGAGTGTATTCTTTACAGATTTAACAGCTACGTTTTAAGCAGGGGCCCTCTTTGCAGCAAAATCCTCAAAAATGGGTTCGTACTTGGCCGCAGGGGACGTGGGGAGTATCGCAAAAGTAGGCTCGCTAGGCACCAACAGTACAAAAGTGTCACTGCTAAGTTTGATGGAACGGACGGAAAGCTGCAGAAGACCCGGATGTAAATAGGACTACAAAATAATAAAAAATTTATTAGCAATATAGCAAGAATAGCAAGAATAAATATTCAAATAAATAAATCAGTCAATAGCATGAACTCGTAAGTACGTTATATGAGCTAAATAATACGTCTCAACAGATCCGTGCGTAATGTTGTCGCTTTCCAAACCGCCTAAAAAAAAACATGCTGCTTGCATGGACAAAAGCAACTGAAATCAGAATTTACACCTTTCCACCACCTCTGCGTAGGAGCGTAATGCACGGCGCACACTCGGACCAAATCGATCAGTGATAGCCGAGCTCCTCTTTCACTCATTTGAAGGGAAATATGTGTTTTGAAGGCACACTGAAGTTTCCGAAGGTGTATCCTCACAATGGCACAGAAGGAGTCGATTTCGGGTGGGTCAGAGGGTAGCGCGTGTGACCCATCTAAAATATCTCCTGAACTAGTGGGTCTTCAGGAAAACTGTAAAGCTTATTGGAAAGAAAAGATAGGGCAGGTTCAAGACTATTTTAATCCTGATGAAATTGCGTTCGAAATAAGTAACCCTCGTGTGAAGCATAAAAACCGCTTGCCATTTACCCCTAGCCGATCCGAAACCCATCCGAAATATTTTGAGAACGGGGAAGCATTCAGATTGCAACTGGGTAGAAAACGCAACAGTAGGAACATTCCGTTGGCATCCCCCCAAAAAGACCCCAGGACGTTGGCAGGCCCAACAACCGCGCTCCAATGACGTTTTTCCAATGAAGGCGGTCGCAACGTTGCGATCGATACTAGGCCAAGTATGAAACGATATACTGCCACCCGGTTATCCATTTTTTCATTTGGCTCCGCATTTTTTTGTATTTTCATGTTTCGCTTTGTTGTGTCGTGCATGTTTTCATGATTTCCCCGTCACCATTCATTGAATGCACATCTGGGCCTGACACGCTGACCTTGGGGCTATTTTTTCACCAATTTAGCTTATCAATGATCACCATTAGTCGCTGTTTCGATTGTGTTCCTTGTTACAAGTTGCATGATATACGTGGTTGTCGAACGACGAGTTTTATTCTGAATCTTAAGACAAAATTGTAGGTAATGCGAGCTGTTTTTCAGCCTCATATTGCATAAGGCTGAAACAGCCTACTATTGCCTGGATTTTGGAGCAGAGTCCGCCTTTCAAAAATTCAGATTCTATTTCAAGGAAGGGCCATTTGTGACAATGCAATGCCGGTTGTCAGTTTAGAGGTCAGGAGGGGGGGGGGTCGTAAACTGGACCCTCTTCGGGAGGGGGGTCCGTACTCACACCGCCATTTCGCACATCCCCATGCTGTACCCTGGTCGAATCGGAAGGGGGGGGGGGGGGTTAAAGCAGTTGCAGGCGATAAATACCGCCCAAAACGACATTTTTTGTTAAAAGATTAATACTCCTGGCAGGATAGAATTCCGCGACCCTGGGCAGGCGCTGCATAGCGGTTTTCCCGAGGAAGGTGCCCTTTATAAGGGCCCTATCAAGCCACAACTTTACGTCCCAAACGCCCGCCACGCCCGCCCGCCCACAAATGGACGACCGTTCCTGACGCTCGTATTCATTCATTTGCTAAGCAAATTATGAAGCGAAGGGATTGGTATGAAGCGGCCGTGATGCTGCATGCATACATGGGTGCACATATGCAGTCGTATCTTCGGTAGCGGTGATTGGTAAGATGCCTACGGGAAACTCGTCCGAAATCGATTTAAAAGTCACTGAGAACGGAGGCTTTTTCTTCGCAGGATTTTGACCGTTTTACTCGTTCTTTCGCCATTCCCGCACTATACAGCGCCCTACTAGCATTTTAGGCTAAGTAGGAAACCATCCGTGCCAACGCATTTCAAAGGAAATAATTACCTGCTGAGTAATCGAAAATCCCAGTGGGCTGCACAGGAGTCTGCACCAGCCCCTCGATAAGTCTCTGAACCACTTATAATCTCAAATACCCCTACCTCCTCCGCTACCAGATACGTCCCATGGTGTGATTTCTATCACGATGGTGTACGCCATGCATAATCACTAGGTTGGCGCATATCGCTACATAATGGGCGTGTAGCGTTTGGTCCAGCAGAGCGTCGCGCAATGTTCGCAGTAGCTCCGCGAAAGCTAGCGACAAAATGGAGCAGTGATTTCGTGACGACCAGCTGCTGCTATTTTTTCACGTAAACGAGCCAATGCACGACTGCAAAAAACTTTATGCACGGGCAACCCTTCATGTTAGTCCGTATTGCTTGCCAGCCACAGGCAGTCCTGCCATGTGGGGGATGAATAGATTTGTTTCATGGAAATTGTGTCACGTTCAGGTTGCAAGAGCACGTGCAGGACGAGAACAAGCTTCCAATAATCATTTTCCCCGAGGGTACATGCATCAACAATACGTCTGTTATGATGTTCAAGAAAGGATCTTTCGAGGTTGGTTCTGAGTACGATTCTTGTTACTCATGTCTCCCTCATACATAGTTGTGTTCACAGTTCAACTGCTAAAACCCCAAAAAGTCGAGTTTTTCTGCTCACAATATGCCTATA